AAATAGCGAAACCAAATTATGTAACTATGTGTAGATAGCAAAAGAATCTAAGTAAATGGGAAATAAAAAACGCAAATAAACATTTAAAAAAATAAATAACTGAATTTAATGTGATTGCTGCTGTTGTTTACAGTTGGCTAACATGCCAGTATACCAATGTATAAGTTTTCTTAAGTCAACTTTTCAAATTCTCAAAATTTTAGGAATAACAGGAGGTCTACTTAAACACCGGTAATAAAGTCTGATTGTGAAATATACATGCATTATAGACAATGAGAATAGATATGAATAACTCCGCATCAATATACCTTTACGAATTCGATGCGCTTATATTAGTTTTATTATTTATTCCCATGCAATATATAGGTATTTTTACAATATTCAAGACGATTGGAATAGATTATCCCAGGAGATTTCTAGGAAAACGGGAAAAGTCGCAAACTATAAACTCATAACATACTTGTTTTAATATGCCAGCATTAACATAAACAGTTTTTCTTACTTAAATTTCAACGCTGCCAAAATCGGATTGAAAGGGTTAAATTACATTCATAAAAAAAAGCTGAGAATAAGAGAAATTAAATAATTTACACAAGGTATTTTCAAAAAAGTATAACACAGTAAAAATTAAGATTCCAAATTATCATTTGTGTAGAATTCATTAACGTTAGCAGTATTCTCTTACGGGATTCCACTCTACAATGGATTCTACTTCATCTGCCGAGTTCAAAAAATCGTCTGCCGAAGAATACGAATATCCACACTTTTTAAATATTTTGCAATAACATTTGAATCTACATTTCTAGTGATTATTTTGTCACGTGTCTAGTATCATTCGATACATGACGTCTATAGTAATAATAATCGACTTTTGCACCCGACGTAACAAAAAATTGCTCTCTCGTAATAAAAAAAAGAGGATCGAATAATAAAACGACTATGATAAATGTCAATTTTTGATGTCAAATCCGTAACAATAACGTAAAGCAAGCGCATTTAAGTCGATTTTAACGTTTTATTTCAATAAAACTCCTAACCGAAGTAACATAATTTCACGTAAATGAAATACAGATTACAAAGTGTTAATTGGTTTTTGCATAAAGATGGGGATATTCTTTTTCAGTTTTCATCCAGAATTGATATATGTTCGTTGTGATTTCTAGTTCAATAATTTTTTTTTCTTCTGTGGTAGTAAGTTCTATCGTATTCGATATTGAATAAATATAAAATTTAAGAACGACCAGGCTATCTAGGGGCCGGGATAGCCTGGTCGGAAGGGCGCGAGACTCATGTCCGAGAGTTCGAACCCCGAAGATTCCCCGTGTAGTAAAGTGACTGATGCACGCTAAATCTGTCGAGTTGCAAAAGTCCTCCATGTTCCCATAACAAATCTAGACCTCTGGGGGGGGGGATCTGGATTGGAGATCGATCGTTCTCTGATTATGGTCAAAATTACGATCTGTGGATGAATGAATGGATGTATGAATGGGTCCGCTCTGTTAACGGGTGCGACGTATGGTGTGGCAGAAGGCGAATTCTTGGCCATAGATGGCGCCACTGGAAAACAAGAACAATCGCACCCCTCTGCCTAAACAGGCATACGTCAACAACAACAGCATCAAATTTAAGGGAATGATATTTGCCGACCAGTAACGGGCCGCGTATCAGCGATTGAGGAACACTAATCTCGCCGACATATTTATGCAGATTTTGACACATTTTTGAAGCATAAAATAACCAGAAAAATAAAGATATGTTTCAGAAACATGAAGAACAAATAAATTAGCCAACAATTTCGGTAGATTTCTTTTTATACGTATACAATTTCTTCCGATTCAATTTAATTTCATATGAAATGGCTTCCTCGTTTTTCATGTAGTCAGGCAATTCATTATAAGGAATTAAATACGTTTTTCATATTATAAGGAATTTCATTAAAAAAGAAAGAGATGAAAATATTACTTTATCTGCATTGAATGACAGTTATAAAAGCAGGCAGTTATAAAACTTGCAACACTATAACACAATATTTTATCTAGTTTAGAGGAAACCGAAACAATGGGCACGATTTCCACTGTATAATTTTGCTTCATTCAAATTGTGTGACGTCCATCAGTTTGAATCTTTTTGTTCAGACAGAAGAGCGTCATTTAACGGCTGTGATGGCTTGTATTTTCAGAAATCTCTGTATCTGTAACTGAATCGTGTCTGTTATGAATGAAACATGTTATTTTCAAGGATCAATAACAAAGTATTAGGCACAAAAGCACAATTTGGTTGTCTAAAGCTTATTTTTTATACAGTCAAACCTCGATATCTCGAACTTGAAGGGAGAGGAGAAAAAATTCGAGATACCGAAAATTCGAATTATCGAAAATCGCATGTTGGTCGAATTAAGAAAATTGCTCTTTATATACCTTACTAACACCATATTTATTCGAAAAATACTTAAAAAGATTCAATTGTTGTTTGCTTTAGAGATGTGTAAGAAAGTTTGTCTATAACACTTTCTAAGTGGACTATGGCTTTAAATGTCTCCTCTGACATATTCAGCTGCCTCTCAATAAATCTCCTTACAGCAGTGGTCCCCAACCTTTTTGTACCTAAGAGCAAATACCAGAATNCTCAATAAATCTCCTTACAGTGTCCACTGCAGAAAGTGCTTGTTTGAGAATTGGTTATGATTATGAGAATCGTTTTTCTATTCTTAAATTTTTTTGGGGGGAATATTATTTTTATTTTCAGAAAAAAAATTTACACTATTTATGGAAAAAAAATTCAAGTTATCGTTAGATTAGCAAAAAAAAATTCGAGATATCAAGTTTTTTTTTAACATTGAGTGTATAGGAAATTTGAAGGGAATTTTTTTTTCTTCGAGATATCGAAAAATTCGTGAAATCGAGGTTCAAGTTAGCGAGGTTCGACTGTATATATTTTCGTTTTATTTAAACTACACTTTATTAATTTATTTTAAAGTTTCTTTTATTTTCTAAGTGTCTCTAAGAAAAAATATAGAAATTGAAAAGACGGACTTAATATCTTTTATAATATTCATGATTATAAAATACTTCGTATTTTATCTGTTAGTGATTTAGTTCAACCAATAAAAGCTTTCATAATTGAACACGTGGATTCAATTGCTTTTCATCCAATAATAAATATCGTCATCAATAGTTTCAATAATTTTTTGAGCTTGTTTTCAATAATTCAGTCAAACATAAATTCGAAAACATTCAAATGTAATCAATTAAATTTGAACATTCAACACTGATAGCTGTTTTTTCAGATTAATTTTAGACGAAAATCTAAATCTATATCTGTTTCAGTTGTTTCTACAACGAAGCATTATTCCAAGACATTTTGTAACAGATGTTTATGACAAATACTACTTTGTATTGTAAGAGTAGTTACATGTTATTTGAAAATATCTGTTATGACTTACCTTTAGTTTACAGGTATATAACCAACAATAACGTAACGAGTAATTCCATAAAGTTGGTTTTAATCGTGCAATTTTAAAAAGCCATAGTTAAAATACCTTAATTGAATTTTTTTACAAATATTTTGAGTGCTAAAATAAACAGGTTTTTTTTAATGTATTTAGACAAAAGTTGGTACTTTATTCTTTTTACTGAATTATAATATTGTGAACAATTTTTATGCACTGAAGCAGTTCTCGCTAGTTTGTCTGGAATAGGGTGTCTGGATTTTTAGAAAGACGAGTTTTAAAAATATTGCTGCTTATAAAATTATTTATTTTTATTGTCACCTGATAAAGACACAATTTCCTAAAAAAAGTCATGAGTTTGTAAGAATTCTTCAGTTTTTGTACTTGATACTTGCCTCGATCCATATTTTATCTACTTCCATATTTTTAATTATTTGATTTATATTGCATAGTAAAATTATGTTGTGCTTTCTGTGTACCTTGAATTGTTAACTTATAAATACTATTGAATTGTAATTTTTTCTCACATACTTTATACACTTATCTGAATAGCTTCTTTGTAAGACAGTGAGCAAAAAAAGGAAACTCTCGGAATAATTTTTGTTCTAATGATCAGATTTTGACAAACTAAGTTATTAGTTCAAAAGGATGACCTGATATATGCAAGTTAACTAGTGTTAGTGTTATATATTAACTAAGCTGCAGAATCAGGGACAAAAACGCACTTTCTCTGAATAAACAACTTTTTCCTAACGGTCTTGGATTTAAACCATCAAAATACGGGGAGTTGCCTCAATTTGAAAAACATGGCTCAATTTAGACAGAAAAGCGGTTGGACCGCTTGATGTAAATTTTCCTTTTTGAGTATTTATCTCGGGCGAACTAAAAAATTTTAGTACCGAAAAAAAAATGTAAAAAAATGACTTTTAATAATTATTTATTTTTTATTAATAATGATAAAAATGTTTTTTAATTGTAGAAATGCAAATTCTTACTTTCGTTTTAAACAGTGAAAAGTTGATGTAACAAAATACAACATTTAAACAAAATTAGTCAAATAGTTCTTAAGATAGAAAAATTTAACAATACGTCTTTCTTGTTTGCTAAAAATCATAATTTGAGTTCAACCTTTTAATCATTATTTAGATTCTTCAACCTTTATCACCCACTTTTAAAACTTTTTCAGTTTTTTTTACAGCTTTTAAAAATGTATGTTCGTGTTTCGTTCATATTTATTAGTGAAACAAAAAAAATGTTAATTAAGAGTTAAAATTTTAAAAATATAAAAAATGAAGAAAAAGAAAACCAATAAAACTGACAAAAGATATGAATTTTCTTTTCCTCCCTCATTTTTATTTTTTTTTTGTTTAATTTTTTTTTTTAAATTTAGAAAGTGAGTACCTTTTCTCAAGCTTTGTCATCTGTTTTTAAAACCTCATTTCAAATTGTGAACGAGGTCAACTTTGTTGTCAATCTTTCATGAATTTGCATCCTCCAAGAAAGATAAATACTCATCACGGATGCTACAGATAGTGTCAAGAGAACAGGTTTAGAAATCAGCTGTCTGTTCCTTGGAAAATTAAAGCCGTGTTTCAATTTCCGACTCCAATTATAACACTTCAGTATTTGGCTGCTGACCAAAACAAACTGCGGACTTTCCTGAAATCATCACCGGACATTAAACAAACGAAATGAAATGAAAGTCCATTGAAATAAAAGTTTTTGTTACACCTCGTAGAAATGGGCCCGAATGGGGTTGATCTCGTGACGTCACATTTCCTACATTATAGACGTCATGACCTTGAATTAAAATAATAACAAAAAAATAATGATCTTGGTGACTTTTCTCCTAGTTGTACCTTATCTGTCACTAACTTCCCCCAACAGGTAGTTATGTCGAATTTCTGGGACAAGTTCCGCTAAAAATGGCTTTCAAATGGCACCGGGCAATTACCAACTGTTTTTTGGTAAGTGAACATTTTTATATAATTTTGTCGTGATTACGGAAAAACACGCGTGAATGAGTTATTTTTCTATCAATAATTACATCTGAGCGAAGCATAACCATAAAAAAGAAACAATATTGACTAAATCATCCAAACAAAATTAAGTTTGATTTATTTCTCACTAAAGTAAAGGAAAAAAATTTTTTTTTTAAAATTTCCTTTTTTAATTATGTTGTATTATATTTTATGGTTTATTGTTTTGTTTTTACAGAAGAGTGATTTTTTTTTACATTCATTTCTAAAATTGCTTTCATAATTTTATTTTTGCATACATCTTTCATTATATTGTTTTTAAACATACTTTTACCTACATTAACTTTTTTTAATTTTTGACACCCAAATATGATGTAAAAGCTTCAGTTATTATAATTTTTTCCTAATGTATATACCAATGGTGAGAAATATTTTTTTTTCTAAAATAAATTCATATTGATCCCAAGTTGGTAATAAAAGTCATATTTCGTTCAAAGCATTTAATGCTTCTAAACAAATATAATGATATTTTTTTACGATTAAAATAGATGTTAGTTGACTTTAACGTATATGAAATTAACGGTTAGCTCTTTAACATTTTTTTATTTACTTTTTTTCGGGGATTTCATTTACCTTGACGAAAAAGTTTGTTGTGGGATTGAAATAACGAAGTTTTAAATCATACGATAAAGTTCTGTCGCACTTAAAAGCAAATTACCGTATTCGAGTAGATAGAAATAACAAATACGCGAACTACGATTACTGTCTTGATAACGTATGCGTCAAATGTATAAACAAATATTTAAAAAAGCGATAAATTGAGATTAAGAGTAAGTGAAACTCTGTTATATTTATTTTACTTGGAAAGTTAAACTTACATACATTTTGATTTTTATAGATACAAAAAATCTAAAAAATTTTTAAAAAAAAGTTTGCAAATTTCTATGGCAATTTATTAAATAAATAATAAATAAAATTAAGCAGGTAAATAACATGACGTTTATGTTAATAAAGGTTGCGTTAATAAACAGGTCCTGTTGTCCTGTTTATGTTAATGAACAAGTCTATTTATCATAAATATTATTAATGTGTTCTTTGCCAAAATATTTTTAAACCATTTTGTATGCGATTTTCGTATTTCTTTTAAAATTAAATTTTTATTCAATGGTAAAAATGAGTTGCATGAGGATATGTAAGTGGGAAATTGATTTCTTAAATCATATCTTGTAAGAGTAAAATATTCTGCATTTAAACATTTTAGTTTCATGAAGCAAATGGCGTTTAGTTGTTTAGTTATGTTTATCCCAATTCTACAATGCACATCCGTTCGTATTTTCCTCATCGGATTTTTTTTAATTTTTAATTGAATTTGGCGACTTCGCTCCCTGCTCACACAGCTCATCAACACCTTTATTGCTCCTTCTAATTCGTAATTTTTTCTTTCTTTTAAGTCCATATTTTTTTAAAAGATTATTTTGTTAAAAAAATTTTTTTATGATTTCATGAAATAACATTTTGTTAATATATTAGCAAAATGAATGATTACATAGATTTGAAAAATAATCCACTGTACTAAAAAAAAAATTAAACTTAGGAATACCTATTGTATAACGTAATAAAAAGCAATAAATGGATAATAAACTAACTTCTTGAAACCTTACATAAAAAAGCTGTTCACATTCGCGGAGATTTTTGTCACCATGAGTTTTTTTCTTTATGTTTGTAAAAATTTCGAAATAAATATTAAGATTTATATCTCGCAACATCTAATAATTATTCACATTTTATTCATATTTTTGGAACTTTTATTTATTCATATTTTTGTTACTTTTGGCAATAGGTTAAGAGCTTGCTTATAAAATAAGATCTCGTGGTAAAAAAATTTTTTGCAACAAAGCAAAAATAGTAAATAAGAAATTTTATCAAAATTAAAAAAAAAAAAAGGCAGAAGCAAGAAATTTCTAAAAAAACAAATAAATAAACAAAAAAAATTTAAAAATCGACGGACTGTAGATCATTTCGTATTGTTTTTTTAGTAAAAGTTTAACGTTTGATAATTCTCAAACCAATAATTGAATTTCATTTTTTGTATTTCATCGTACTCCTTGTATATTTTTTTAACACATCGTTATTTCAAACTTTCTTAAGTCGACTAGTTTCTGCGCAGAAAAACAAATTGTAACGTGAAGTTGAACACCCAAAGCAGCAGTAACGGTGTGTACGTTTTCTTTTAACATAGAGAAAAATAAGAATTTTTATGTGCGAGAAACATTACATCTACCAAAATGCTGTTAGCTGTTATAAATACGATATGTTGTGATATAACTGTTTGGTTTTCGATCAAGTTAACTCGCTGACCGGCCTGTGTAGGGGGCAGGGAACTGTCCTTGCATCAGAAAGGTCCTGGGTTAGAATCACGGGCAAGGCATGGGTGTTTCTTTCTCTCTGTGTGTGTTTTATGTCTTTTCTCCTTTGTGTGTGAATGTGACCCGCCCTATAAACGGGCTGTGGTTGTGTGAATGGCGTGGCAGAAGTCGAATTCCTAGCCATAGATGGCGCCACTGAAAAACAGGAACAATCGCACCTCCACTGCCTAAACAGGCATACGACAAAAAAATCAAGTTAACTCGTATTACCATGCATACTCCGTAGTATTCTGCATATATAGTTTCAGTAAAAGTGATAAAATTGGAAAATAAATGTATTAAGTAGCTTATATACTTCCCTGCTCAACACAAAAATACTTCATTTAAATTTCATAAGTTTTTCTAGCCGTACTGAAAGAAAATACATGCTTTTTTCAAATGGAACTTAAGAATTCTAACATATTGGTAATAGGCACGTTTGAGATATTAAGTATACTCTGAAATACTTTATCTTTATTGCAGATTTAAATACATTATTTTTAATTTCCTTATGTATTTAGCAGAAATTATCCACAAAAAAATTTCTTCGCGAAAAATATTGAAAAAGTCGTCTATTTTTTATTCTATTTTATTGCCATTATAGTAATAACGCTGAAAAAAAATTTTCTAAAAATTTTTTTGTTCAATTTAAAGGTCAAATATTGCTACAAAAAAGACTGAGAAAATGATTTTATTATTGAAACTAACCAGAGATTGTGTAACATACAAAGAAAAACCAGAGAAACCACTCAAATCCAATTTCCATTTTTTGCTCGGTGAAAAAAAAATTATGGCAAGATTACCATACTGTATGAAAATAAAATTTCTTACCACAAAAATCCGGTTAATAGAACCTAATTATATGGTATTTAAACCATTCATTTTATAACCTTCGTTGAACAGCTGACCCAATTTTTCGTACTAATGTTTAACTCCGTAGCCTTGTAATTTTGAACCCGATCCAGAAAACAAGAGAACTCCTGGATCAAGTATTATGAGAAATTTACTTTCGTGGTAGACATTCTGATGGAACTAACTAGCATTTGCGTTACATTGAAAGGAAAGCCACAAAAACCTCCCACGGTTAGCCTGAATGCGAGGGGACTCTAACCCATGATCCGTCTACCACTGAGGATATCAAGTTAATAATAATCTTGAATCTCTGGAGGACTTTTAGATTGAACTTACCCGCATTTGTGCTACATGGAGAGAAAAAACACGAAAACTTCCCCCGGTCAGCCAGACAACAAGGGGACTGAGAGGACCACTGAGGATATTTTAAGTCAGCCCTGTGGCTGGTGCGGGACTTAGTTATCTTACATGGGAAACAATTAACAAAGGACTTGAAAACTTTTAATTCAACTAACATCAAACGATATTTTGAAAGATTGATATCAAACGTTTTGAGACAATTCAGCTTTTCCAAACTTTCATTGAAATTAATCATCTTAAGTAAGAATATGAAGCAAAAAAAAAAAAAAAGAAACGTGCACAAAGTACAAATGAAAATGCATAAGAGCGCATACTATAACTTCAGTTCTATAAACAAGAACATTCTTCAGTGACACTGAGCAAGGATCTTGTTTATAAAACCGAAACTACATTATTTATTCGGATTGACCTTTTCTTGGGACTCCTGATCTTAAAAGATCATGCACACTTCCTTCCATTACTTTTTTATGTGACCAACAGTTAATTTTTGAATTCTAAATTTGAAGACGTTTGCAGAATATGAAACTTTCTCGGTTTCTTGAATAAACAAAAGACGAGTGGCCAAAGGCGTGTTTTTCCCAATCTTCATATTTAAGCGGATAAAATAAACACTCATTTAGGAAATAGAATTCAATATATAGGTATTGATTTCAATAAAAGTTTCTAGAAACTGAATCGCCTCAAAACTTTTGATTTCAAATTTTTTTTGCAATTCTTGTTTGAGGTTTGTTAAATTAAAATAATTTCAAGTCTATTCTTAGTTGCTCCCTCCTTAGGATGTCTGAATCTACAAGTTACTAATTTAAATATTAAGAAATTTTGTTGAGAGAAAAAGTTGGAATGGAGAAACATATCATCAAAAAGATTTATATCTCTACTGAATATAACAATGTTTAATTTTGAACCGATGTGAAAAATTCAGTTTTTAAACGCCTCCCTATCGGACTAAAGGAATTTTTTAAATGACTAAGAATGTGGGCCAAAGTTTCTTTTTTCTCCGACTGTCCAAATTTTAGGACCTTAGGACAAATGATCCTGGAGTTATAAGAGAGACAGACACACAAACTTGTCTTTTTTATTTTCACAGACATAGATACATACTTTTTTTAAATATTATCTAGAGTTCATGTTTCTAAGCATAACAGTTTCCTCGTAAAAGAATAAGTCTAGTTTTTTTTTTCACCTTTTACTTTCCAATTTTTAGTTGATAATTTTGAGTTTTTTTCCTTATTAATCTATTTTGTTTTTCTCCTTCACGCGTAGTGAGTCTTGTGAATGGGCGCCTGTTTTTGAGCACTCGGAACGCGGCAACTTTTTCCACGTTAATGGTTTTCGAAGCAAAGTTTTTACATTATCAATTAAATGTCTTTC